ACTAACACGCCTTGCCTGGCTATTTACTTACAAGTTTGAAATAGGAGAGTATTGTTTAGAAAGACATTGTGAACCTGGATTGATGTCTGGTCCCTCTCAGTCCCGAGAACGAACACACTCCCAAACAAAGAACACGCACAAAAGCCTTCCCCCCCCCCCCAAGATTTGAAAGTATCTTGTCCCCTTATTGGTCCTTTCGGTCAGATGCCAGCCAGGTTACCTGAGCTTCTTAACCCTTTACAGGGAAAAGGATTTTGGAGTCTCTGGCCAGGAGGGATTTTATAGTACTGTACACAGGACAGCTGTTACCCTTCCCTTTATAGTTATGACACCCCGCTACGGCGCTCCAGCCGGGGAGCGGGGTTGGGGTCTTGCCCCACTCCGCACAGCTCCCAGAAGCAGCGGCATGTCCCCCCTCCGGCTCCTACGTGTAGGAGCAGTCACGGGACACAACACACCGCCCCCACCTCAAGCGCTGCCCCCGCCCCTCCCATTGGCCGGGAACCAGAGCCAATGGGAGCTGCAGGGGCAGCACCTGCGCACAGGGCAGCGCGCAGAGCCGCCTGGCCGTGCCTCCGCATAGGAGCTGGAGGAGAGACATGCCACTGTTTCTGGGAGCTGCTTGAGGTAAGTGCCACCCGGAGCCTGACCCCTTCCGTGCCCCACCCCCGTACTCCAGCCCTGATCCCCCTCCCACCCTCGGAACCCCTCGGTCCCAGCCTGGAGCACCCTCCTGCGTCCCCAACTCCTCATCCCCAGGCCCACCTGAGAGCCCGCACCCACAGCCGGAGCCCTCACGCCCTCTTGCACCCCAACCCCCAATTTCGTGAGCATTCATGGCCATACAATTTCCATACCCAGATGTGGCCCTTGGGCCAAAAAGTTTGCCCACCCCTGTTCTAGAAGGAAACAACCCAATTTAGGGAGGTTTCAGAGTGGTAGCTGTGTTAGTCTGTATCAGCAAAAACAACGAGGAGTACTTGTGGCACTTTAGAGACTAACAAATTTATTTGGGAATAAGCTTTCGTGGGCTAAAACCCACTTCATCAGATGCATGGAGTGGAAAATACAGTAGACAGGTATATATACACAGTACATGAAAAGATGGGAGTTGCCTTACCAAGTGGGGGGTCATTGCTAACGAGACAATTGAATTAAAGTGGAAGTGGGCTATTCTCAACAGTAGAATACCAAGGGAGGAAAAATCACTTTTGTAGTGGTAATGAGGGCAATGTAATTAGGGTGGCACATTTCAAACTGTTGACAAGAAGGTGTGAGTAACAGTAGGGGGAAATTAGTTTCCCAGTCTTTATTCAGGCCTAATTTGACGGTGTCCAGTTTGCAAATTAATTCCAGTTCTGCAGTTTCTCATTGGAGTCTGTTTTTGAAGGTTTTTTGTTGAAGAATTGCCACTTTAAAGTCTGTTGTTGAGTGTCCAGAGAGATTGAAGTGTTCTCCGACTGGTTTTTGAATGTTACAATTTTGAATAAATGGACATAAATCAGACATCGAGAATTATAACATTCAAAAACCAGTCAGAGAACACTTCAATCTCCCTGGACACTCAATAAGTCACAAACTACCTACATAACCTACAACTCTCCAGTTACTGCCTCACATACATAGCATCCATCATTTCCAGATCATTTACAACCATTGCCTGGAGTTCTTCTCCATCCTGGATGTGTTCTAATATACCTTCTGCCCTTCTCCACTCGTCTGAAAATGCTCTCTAACCAAGATTTCTAATAACCTGTTAATTTGAAGGATTAATTGTAACTAATATACATATTACTGGATTCTAAATAAACTGTTACCACTTAGGAAAAAGACCAGGGCATCCTAGACAGCAAAAACAAAACCTCTGCTCAGGTATGCAGCAGTGGTTAAAAAAAAAAATACATCCACAATGTTAGGATGCATAAGAAATGGGATGGAAAACAATACTGATCCAGGGTATATCCCGACTAGGATTTCTGTGTTACGTTCTGGTCATGTCATCTCAAAAAGAATCTAAAAGAAATAGAAGGGCTCAGAAATTGAAAGACTTTCATGCCTGGGGAGATTGAAAAGACTGAGACTGTTTACCTTAGAGAGGGGATTTAAAAAAAAAAGAGAAGTCATGATAGAGGTACATAATATAATGAATAGTACAAAGAAAGTAAACTAGACACTCCCATTTAGCCCCTCAGAATACAAGGAAAAGGAAACAAACATTCAGTGAAATTGAAAGGCAAAAGATTTAAAACTGAAAAGAAAATACTGTGGAAGTCATTGCTACTATATATTGAGCTTGATAACATTCAAAAAGGATTAGAAATTGATATAGTGAATGAGAATATTCAGTTACTTTAAATTAAAAAACAGTATGGGATAAATTCTCATGCTTCAGGAGGTAAGACAACCAATACGTAACAGGGTTTAAGAAGAAACTTTCTCCATGAGCAGGTTATTCTATACTGTCCACCATCAGTTTTATTGTACTTTCTTCTGACGCACCCCATGCTGACTACTCAGACACTGTACTAGTCTAGATGGACCATCAATCTGATCTAGGATGGCAGTTCCTATGTTACTGGATTTAAGTGAGAGCATTACAGTTTAGACAGGCCTATTACTACCTGTGCATAATGTCTGTTCAGCTTCCTAAATGAAGAGGATGGCTGACAGACATTCAGTTCTGTGACACTCTTTATCTTCCTAGTTGTGTAGAAGGAAGATTTTTAGGTAAAATATTTAAATATCCAAGCAAAATTAGCCTGATTTTTCAAAGTACCGAGCAGTCTGAGCTCCTTATGACTTCACTGGGCGTTGGAAATACTAGCACCCCTAAAAATGAGGTCACTTTTGCATAAGTGCCTAATTATGGCTTTGGTGCTAACTTTAGGCAGCCAAGTATGAAATGTTACCGAGTACATAATTCTCATCTCAGCTGAGGAACACAGGATTTTTTTTTTTAAGAGAAATTTTAAAAAGCACTACATTTGTGCATAGATTTTCTATAAGGTCACTGAACCAACTCCTGTCTTGTTAACCAGCAGAGCCCAGTGTGTGTTTAAATCCTGATCCTGCCACATTTCATTCAGGAGGAAAGGACTTAACCTGAAAAGCAAGACCAGTTCCCTATGTGTGAATAGCCAGTATCTCACTGCATGTTTTATTTTGTTTAGTTGCAGATCTGGGACACAGCAGGCCAGGAGAGATTCCGAACCATCACACAGAGCTACTACCGAAGCGCCAATGGAGCAATCCTAGCCTACGACATCAGCAAGAGAAGCTCTTTCCAGTCCATTCCTCGCTGGATTGAGGATGTGAGAAAGTATGCTGGTTCCAACATAGTACAGTTACTGATTGGTGAGTTTGGAAAATTAATCCCTTTCTGGATGAGTGAGGAACTCAAATAAAACTATACAGCATCAAAGCACTGTGCAAACACTAACCACTCAGACCACCTCTGTGAGGCAGGTAAGAGTTTTATCCTCCTTTTACAGAAGTCAGAACAGATGTAATAAAATTAAATTATTTGTTTATGGGGAGCCACTGTCAGAGACAAGGTTCTAACGCAGAGGTTTCTGGGTTCCACTCTCCTGATTAGACATCACTGCCTCAGCATACATGTTTAGTCCCAACTTCTAAGGAGCTAGTTTTGAGACTGCCAACCTACCATTCTGTCCTTTAAATACTTTACTTTCTGGTGAGTACATTGAAGAAATAGAAATACTGATTCAATTACCAGTCATAGCTTCAGTCCAGCATATACCATTTACACCACATTGTGTTATTATTTATTACTTGTATTACATACCATCTGGCATCCCTAGTCATGGACCAGGACCCCATTGTGCTAGGCAAGGTACAGACACACCAAACGACAGTTCCTGGAAGTTTAAAATTTATTGAGTTCATATTATGTTAGATAGGAGGTTTTCTTTGCTCTTCACTTTTTATTAACCCTGCTAGAGCTTGCGTTCTCTAACTTCACTCATTGTTCAGTGTCGTTCTTGTAGATCTGAATTTCAAAGTCAGGCAGGGGTGAAAATGCATGCACCATTGTGCACTTGATTTGTACGGTCAGTTATCGCAATTGTATGTGCAAGTTGAATGTTAGGCACACAGTTGCACCCCTGATCTTTGAAAAGCCAGTCCGTGTGTGTAATTTCATTTCTCAGGGGCAACGACTGTGTCATCATGCCTGCTATACAAGCACCAGAAGACTAAATGGTAGTCTTAGAGTCCAAAGAGTGATTGTTAGTTTAATTTTATATAATGGCATGGGTCAGAGTTCTGCATCCAGCTCCTGCAGGCTGACCAACAGCTTGCACTCGCTCTCACTTTTACCTTCTGTTCCCTATTCCCCGCCCCTGCAACGGTTTTGGCTTTGACCTCCAGCCCATTTTCCCTGCCTCACCAAAGGCTCTTGCTGCTGAACTCCTGACCCACTCCCATGGTTCCTGCTATTGTCTCTTTTCTCCTTCACGCCCCCTCCTGAACATTTGCACAGACATCAGTAATTATAAAAAAGTTAATCTGTAAACAATTCCACTTTCTTCTGCCAGGAAACAAGTCTGACTTAAGTGACCTTCGAGAGGTTCAGCTGGAGGAGGCTCAGAATCTGGCTGAACACTATGATATCATCTGTGCCATAGAAACGTCTGCGAAAGACTCCAGCAATGTGGAGGAAGCTTTTGTGAAGATGGCAACGGAGCTCATGATAAGGCATGGAGGCCCCATGTTCAATGAGAAAAACACAGACAGCATCAAACTTGACAGCAAAGACATAGTAGAAGGCTGGGGGCCATGCAGTTGCTGATACAAGCTAGGTAGTATCCCTGACTTTACTGGAATTTAGAGGGATGTCTCCCCCTAAGGCTGAGTAGCACAGTAGCTGTATCCTCCTCCTGAGAGACCAGCATTTTTGTAGACATTAGACACCAATGCAATCAAGATTTTGTCTTTTACTTTTAAAAAAAGGACTTTGTTGAGGTTTAGACCTAAAAGTTCAACCTTCCTTGACATTTACTCTGTATTTGCCCCCATTATTTTCTTTGCTGCAACCTTCTCAGTAAGTTATGAATCTGAGTGAAGCAGCATGGATCTGTTTGTTGGAGGGCAGGGGAAGGTAACTAGACAAGAAACCACCACATACCTGAAGTTCTAAACCCTTCAGTATGGAATAGCTGTCAAAGGTGTAACTATTTTTGCTTTTAGGTCAGTCAACCTTGATAGAGTCTTTTTAAATTCTCAGCATTCCACCAATGACCACATACACCAGACAGTTTAGACAGTGGCTGTGGCAAAGGTGTTTCAAGTATCAAAATGCTTGAATGTTTTAAACATGGGACCAAGCAGCAGTCACCTGTCCAAGACACTGGACCACCATGGAAGCTCTCTCCTTGAAAGTAAAATGTGGCACATGGACTGCTAAATATTGTTGGTACAAGCCCAAGTGGGCTGTCATGCTGATTTTTAAAAAATCATCATTCAAATAGTGAAATCAGTCTGAGCAATACCGGTTGCCTGCTTGTTTACCAAGATAAACATTAAATGTACTGACTCAAATTCACTCTTGGAGAAGGAGGGGTTTGATTATTTTGTTACTTATTTGCACAGTGAATAGTTCCTTTTCCAACTTGGTGTCATGGAGTTTTTACCCTCAGCTTTATTCATTTCATTCAATAACTCAAGAACAGCACCACTGGAAATAAGAACTGGAGAAGCCTTGAACAGACTTTGCTAGCCATGACTGACTTTGGAGTGCTGTAGTATGCCTAACTGGTCACATAGAACATTAATTCCAATCACATGTGATTAGCATTAGTTTTTGTTGCCAGAGGTTTCATTGCACAAGTGACTGTGACTGTCCCATTCTTTAACTACAGCCTGGGCATTTGATGGGACAGTGAACTTCAAATTAGCTGAGGACTGTATGAAACATGATTTCTTGGCTATAGGAAAATATTGAGATCTCTCGGATTCCCTCTCTCACAAATACAAGTTGCCAGTTGATTTTCATTTCTTGCAGATCTTCAGCAAGAAAAATCTTTTTACTATTGACCAAAAGTCTGCATTATTAATTAAATTGATTTAATAACCCAGCTAAGTAGTTGGCTTAAAGATGTAGCTCTTTATTAGGAGCTTATGTTGTGTCTGCCATTAGAAAGTGCTGACGCCAGCAACTATCCCTGGATTTACTCCCTCAAGCACCTTACAAACAGGGATTTACAAAAGGAACAGAAGCTGGATTTTTTAAATCTACAGTTTAAAGCCAAGGTTTTCAGAATGGTGATTTTGGGTGCCCGACTCTAGATATTTTAAAAGATCCTGATTTTCAGAAGTGCTGATTACCCACCCTCAAAAATCAGGTCCCCTTAAGGTGTTTCAGGATGCTGCACCTATAGAAAAAAAATGAAGGCACCCAAAATCAGTCGTCATTTTTGAAAGTCTTAACCTAAAAGGATAGGGTGTATTTGGATTATTGTTATTACCAGGAATACAGATTATGGCCATTCCACACATAGCATGAAAGCCAAGAAACTAGGAAAGGGCTAATATCATGGACCCTGTTTTAAATGTTGATTCATCAGAAAAATCATTTTCCTGCAGAAAATGTTGAACTATTTTCTACTGAAGTAGTTGACTAAAGAATTATGTATGTTTTGTAGACTGTTTGCTTGTAATTTAAGATAAACTTGACTTCAAATTTTATAGTTGTAAGAATAAAGGGGCCTTAAAACATTTAGTTAGTTTAGTTTTCACATTTCTATTTTATATGGAAATGCAGGGTGAGGCACAAATATGGTTTTTGGTTTTAAATAGGGCAGTTTTCCAGGATACTCCAGGGTCTCCTACATCCAAAGATAAGAGGCACCAAGTGCCCAGAAGAAAATAAACACTAGAGATGGAGTTTTTCCAAAACTCCAGGCAATTAACTTAGTATCGGTTAGTAAACAGCAAACCCCCTACTCTATCCCCCAAAAGGGGGTAAAAGTCAGTTTAATCTAGAAAAGAGGTCTGATTAAAAACTAAAATTCAGTCCTGAAATCTTTTTTCTAGTGAAAAGGTACCATAGCAAATATATTTAAGATCCTCTTCTGTTTGTTGATCAGCCTGAATAGGCTGGGTAGAGTTATTCTGTCCATTTCTGAAGTGCTCACAGTAGAAAAACTGACAAGGTCTTAAACCAGAGAATACTTGCGTTTTGTCATCATATGTTTTAGTGTACATCTATAGGCCCAAATCCAACAATTTGGTGTGCCCACACATGGATCTTTACATCAATCCACAGTCCCATTATTTGCAGGACTGGTGCCAACTTACATACTTAAAACCATGCTGGTAAAAATTCATGTGCATGTAAAAACAAGAGTATTGAAACTACTTAGATCACAGCTGATCCTCTGTAGCTTAGATAATGCATTCTAGGCCTAGATAAGCTATATATCTCATCAAGAACCAGAAAGGACCTGGACCCTATTCCCATTGCAGTCATCGAAAGTTTTGCCACTCACTATAAATGGAGGCAGATTTGAGCCCAACATGTTAAAAAATAAAAGCATGCGAGTTTCTTTAATATTGACCTATGTTTAGCAACCAAATAGAAATAAATCAAGCACTTTATTTTTTCTTAATCCTTTGCCATGGGTCACCTAGTGTTTCAACTGAAGCATTGAAGTTTAAGAATCCACCTGCAGAGCTTAGTCTGTTTCAGGCAGAAGTTGTTATAAAATGCAGTACCAGTTGTTTGTTCGCTGGGCCTTCAACTGAAGGATATGCTTCAGCTTCTTGGATTTTCCTGTAAAGCTATAGTCCTTTAGTTTTAGAGCAGCTATGTCTTCTCACTTAAAAAACAACACCACCCTATAATACATGTTTGCATGTCCTACCTAGCAAAACGTCAGGGAATAAAGAAATGGAGAGAGGAACCTCATTTATCCAAATCAGTTTGCCACGTATCAGTCAACGGTATAGTGTTTGGGTTCATAATACACTGTTTCAGCTATCCCAGCGGCATATACCACACACATCACCTGGGTGTGATAGTAATGGTACAATCCTCACTAGAGGCATGGTTCTTTGTACTGAAATATATTTAACCATGAAAACAGAATTTATATCTTTTTCAATAATCCCTTTTATAGAAGTCACTGTTTAGCTAGCCGTAGAGCCATAAGTCATATCCATAGCTATGCAATCTAAGCAGTAGGAGCCAAATCCTGCTTGCTTTATTTTCAGTAATCCCATTGACACCAAAAGGAGAATCGTGCTAGAGGAGGATGAGCAGGATTTGGCCCTACATTTATAGGCACAAAACTATTTCTGGGAAATCTCAGGTTAGGAACCTGCAATGATGTACATCAAATGAGTGGCTCAGTAGCATACGAGCACAGTTTAAGGCCAAAATATTTGCTAAGAGCCCTCTTTGCTGGCAGTTGAACATTAGGAAGAAAATATATAGCCATTACACTAAATTGCTTTAGGCAGATCATCTTAGCTTACCATTACTTTTATAGTATTTATCGTTTGCATTTGGCAGTGCCCAAAGTATGCTAAGTACAGTAGAGTCTCAAAAAAGGGGCATTGATCCTTGCCCCAAACAGCTTACAAGCCTGAAATTCAATGGCAAACACTGAAATGAGAATTCTTACAGAACTTTGTTCTCTTTGTGTGAATGGTGCTCTTCCCTGTTTTGGTTTGGATATAACTAACTTTTAAATTCATCTCCTGTTGCTGATGCAGTCCATTTTGATGGGCAGAATTTGTGCAAATATTTATAATTATGTCATTTTCAAATAAATGTGTATTAGCATAGAACCCTGATAATAATTTGTTTTGTAAAACGAACTAAAATACTGAACACTGGAGATAAAAATCCCCTAATTATGGTATCAGTTTTACTACACTCAAGGTCATGTCACATTCTGCAGTGTTTGTTAACCTCAAACGGTATCTGACCCAGCTGACGCTCCACTTCATGGAGTTTCACAAGAGCTTTGGCTTTACTTCAGTTTTTTCATTGCCTCTGGAGTTCTATAATGAATGGCACACTATCAACAAGACTGCATAAGATCAGATTTACTAAAACAATAGGTTTTATTGTTGAGTAGTGCTGACAAATTGTTCAAGCAGCACTATTCTTAAACAATATTGAAAAGCAGTTTCTTGATTCTCCCTAGCATGTATTGTTCCATTATTTAATGTTATAGTCCAAAACAGTATCTGACTGGCCATTTGATTGTCTCTTGCCTTCTGGTATTGATCCCCAGTAACTCTAGTGGTATTCTCAACTATATATATATATATATATATATATACACACACACCCACATACATACACACACACACACTCCCAAAGAAAGCTTGTCTAAAGTAAATTAAGGTAATACACACAAGCAAATTTGCATAATAAGTCTAAAATTTAAAGAGCATTTACTGGTTAATAAATTACCGAGTAGCTGAAATTATTTAGCCTCAACCACTGTGCCTCCCAGCATTCAGGTGTACATTAACAGATCAGCTTGTACACTGGAGGAAAACTCATTGGGAACAACCCATTCTTTGAGAAGCTGGAAGATAAAAGGGAAGGATGACCGCCTGATATCTTCCAAGATTGGGAGGTTAGGCCTGTTCTCTGTAGAATCATTCAGGACATTAACAAGGCTCAAGACTGAGGTAAACAAACAGACACACAAAACAGATGTAGACAAATCTAAAGAGAGTTAAAATGATTTTTTTTTTTTTTTTTAGTTCTCATGGAAAATCTAAGGTACTTGTATGGCTTCCATTACCATAGTATCTGAATGCCTCACAATCTTTGATGGATTTATACTCACAATACCCCGGTGAGGTAGGGAGGTGGTGTTATCCCAATTCACAGGCACAGAGAGACTAAGGCCATGTCTACACTTACCAGGGATCGATACTGCTGTGATCGATGCAGTGGGTCTACAAGACCCGCTAAATCGCCCACAGAGTGCTCTCCGGTCAACTCCAGTACTCCACTGGACCAAGAAGAGTAAGGTAAGTCGACGGGAGAGCATTTCCCGTCGACACAGCGCAGTAAGTCGACCTGCGCTACATCAACTCCACTTACGTTATTCATGTAACTTAGATTGTAGTAGTGTAGACAGGGCCTAAGGGACTTGCCCGAAGTCACACAGGCAGTCTATGGTGGAGCACCTGCCCCTCATAGCCATGGTGTAGAAGCCACAGGTGGGGAAAGAGGGCAGAGCAAAAGTGATACTGCACTCTGGCAATCCTCCAGGGCTCTAAGTTATTCCAGACCTGACCAGTCCTTAGATTGGGTCTTTAGGCTGCTCAGATGCACTGCGGACTGACCAGCATACAACCGATCCGATCCTCTGTCTGTTCACGTATCTGGGCAGAGTTCCTCTGGGCGACGTCCACTCGCTCCCTTGAAGCCTTCAAGGAGCAGTGGGCGTGGTCAGGGGTTCTCTGCTCGGTGTCCCCGTCAGGCTCCCTTCTTTTGACCCTTTGACTGCACTCCTGTCCCTGTTATTTCATTAGTTGTCCCTCGAAAGAAAAAAAAACTGTTTCAGCTTTGGGAGCACAAAGGCCACCTTTGCAGCCCCCTTCTGAGTTGGCTCTGGGTACTCCTCAGCCATAGCCCTGGGTCTAAGCCTTTGCTTCTACTGGGCATGAGGGCTTGTCTACTCTTACAGCACTGCAGCGGCAGTAGTGTAGTGCTTAGTGAAGACGTGCCACCTCCCTGAGCGCTGTCTACACCAGGGTTTAGGTCAGTATAACTGCATCACTCAGATGAGTAGATTTTCCACGCTCCTGAGCAACAGTTATACCGACGTAAGTTTGTAGTGTAGACCAGGGCTGAGTCACAAAGGCAAGAGATGTTTAGCTATTGTTTCACCACTGCACATTGAAAGTCATTATGAAGTTGATTAGCAGTTGTCTGTAAATGGGTTGGTGGGGGGAGGGGAGTAAAGCTTCTTTTCCAACACCAGTTTTACATTGTTTATGTTACTGTCCATGTGCCACAGACCTCGTGAAGTAGAATTGTACTGTGCACACTAAATTGATAGCTATCCGTTGCAAGGAGATATTTAGTCCGTAGCTACAGTCATGCATCTTTCCCCTAGAAATCCTTACAAACTTATTGGTAACAATATGAAGCTACTGGAAGATTCTAGCTAATGTATCTTGGCATGCTATCCTTCAGATTAGACTTTACATATAGGTCACGTTGATCCATCCCTGTGTTTGCTGGCTGCACACTAGCTATCCCATGACACTGTGTGTGTTTCTGGACTGGCACAAGTGTTGCCCTGGCCAATATTTCCCCCTGGTGGTACTGTATTCAGTTCAGAGTGCATGGGCAGTCCCTTGGCCTGAACAGTCACAGCATCACCAGGATTTAACTGACTACTTTGTAATGTGCTTTGAAACACTCAAGGGCAGATTTTCAACATCACAAAGAGCAGTTAAGCCCCAAACTCCTCTTTGTGCCTTTGAAGAGCTTCCCCGGCAGAACTAAATCTTATGCAGCCATTTACACGAGTGCAAAGTGAATGCAAGACCCTACCAGGTCAGAGAAAGGTAGCATTCTACACTGACTTTTCACAGGTGTAAATGACTACACCATATGCAAGGGCAGTGGAGAATCAGGCCCCTGGAGGAAGGCTGAAAGCTAATTTTTTTCTGTTACTAGACATTGGGGGGGTTGAATATCTGCTCAAAATAACTGGGAGTTGAGTCTTACAGATGCCTCCATGTAAATGGAGTGGGTCAGCTTTTGTGGCCCGCATCATGCGGGAGGTCAGACTAGATGATCATAATGGTTCCTTCTGACCTTAGAGTCTATGAGTCTATGAGTCAAGCCATTGAGCTTTTGAATTCTGGCTCCATTTTATTTAATTTAGTTTCAATAAAAAACAACTGATACAGTCTCCGGTCAGTCCTTATCCCTTAACAAAATCCAGCCAGAGTCAGACAAAGAGCAAACAAATTCTCCATTTTATCCTGGACTCCCTAGTTCTCTGTATAGTCCACCCCCCACCAAATGTGACCAAAAAATTGGTCTGGGGGAGATTTTGCAGCATGCGCTGAAGGGCAGCATAGTCAGGTCATTTTGCACCAAGTCTAGAGGTGAAATGGTCCAGAGAGAATAATGTTTGAAGCTGAACCTACTTCCATTGTGTCCTTCCTGACATAAGCATCTTTTCCTTTATGTTGGAAGGAGATTTTTGTATAATTGAAATAATGTCAGAGGTAAAGTTGAAAGCTGACAGGTCTGTGCACAGACACTCATGAGAAAGAGAGAGAGAAAAACATTCAGGCACTACATGTAATAATTGGAAGGAAAAAGGTGGCTTAAGGGTGTCATTGACCAATCAGACCTTATAATTCTTTCCCATGCACTCAAGTGATTTGTAGGCCTTTGGAAACCTTGGCTCATTTTAGATTTTGCAGTGTTTCATTTCAGTGCTTACCATCCTGTTGAGAAACAGCTTTCAGATGAACCATCAGGATTGTCCTGGAGTCTCCAGGAATTAAAGATTAATCTTGAATTGAAGATAACATCATGTTATGAAACCTACAGGAATATGTCCAACCAAAATTGGCAACCTTAGCTCTTATTTGTTATTGGGCTAATAAAGTTACACCTGCTTGCTTACACCAAAGCTGGAATAAGTTTTGGAATCCTTTGAGGTGGTAGAAAATCTTGATGCAAAGAATGATTCAGCCATTCAGATGCAGGGTCTATTATGTATTTTAGGACAGCACTTAATTTGTAACGAAAGAGGTGCCGGAGCTCAAGTAATTAGGGGCCGGGACTCAAGCAATTTTTTTACTTTCATACCTGACACACCAAACCCTGGGGTGCTGGGGATATGAACTGCCAAGCCTAGAGGTGCCGGGGCCCAACCCTGGCAAGCCCTGGCACAAATTAAGCACTGCTTTAGGATAGCCAATCCTTAACTTCTTACTGGAACTGGATCCCTCTGTTTATCAATGGGTTTTCTTTTGAATTTACTCAAAAATATTGACTACACACAAAAAATGGATAGGAAACTTCATATCCACATGAATACTGTCTTTTATGGTAAAATGAGAATGACCAGTGCATGCTTGGGAGGTAGGATCAGGGTAGGAAATTATTTCTTTTAAGGGGACTAGCAAAGGGTAAAAATAGATTTGTCCCCTCTTCAAAGTTGGTTTTGTTTTTTAAGAGGGACACATTTCTGTTTTGTACATTAGAAATTCAGATAATTTGTATTTGTCACTCCTCATGCTAGGTGGTGTATGTACATGTACACGTACACACAGAGTCCTTGCCCAAAACTGCTGCCTTGTTTTTCCTTTAAGATTTTGTGGACCAGTGGAACGCAAACAAGCAGGATGACATCACAGTGTTCAGCAATCAGATGTGAGGGGATTTTTCTGTGGACTGTTAAATAACTACACCTAAACAGATTTAAACACAAAATTGGAGGAAAATTCTTTTGAGGATTAAGCACCTCACCCATTCAGTTACTGTTTTTTCCTGCTTGCTTTTTTTTTAAACATTAGAAATGCAGGCATTGTCTACCCTGGAACTCCATGGAGTGCTGGAGAACTAGTGATAATTGGGAAGGGGCCTGTTTTGAAGTTTGGCATTTTTTGACATCTCTAACTCCAAATATAGTGTTAAATATTTAACATCCCTAGCCCCTTCAGGTGAGAGAACCTAATATCCACAGGCCCCTTCCCCCAAACAGGCTCCTGCAAAACCAGGGGAGATCAGACTTGATATTCCGGATATCAAAAATTAAAATATTTTAAGGCAGCCTTTGAGGCTTCCTTTATATATTATAGGGAACAAAGGGTGCAAGCCATTTTATTTAAAAAAGCCTTTGCAAGTCACCTTTCAAGCATTGCAGCTCAGTCAAGTTATTTCCAACATTAGACTACACATATTCAGCTATCAAAGGACAAAATCCTACAGCTCTCACCACAAACAAGTGTTGGGGTATTGTGGGAAGAGACCCATCCATCCCTTTACCTGGCGAATTATTGCTTTAATGACCATGGCCCCTGAAGATCCCAACCACACCCAAAATTGTAAAAGTGTATACATATATAATGCCAGCTCTGACAATTGATGATACAAAATAACACCTCCCCTTTCTGTTTTAAAAAACCTAAGTCTCCAGAGAAAAACTAGGTATGAGAGTTAAGGTTGGAAATGTTTGTATTTCTCCCCTTAGTTACATCAGTTTGGTGCACCCAAAGACGTATTTATGCAAAAAAACTGAGACAAGAATCAATTCCATAATTAATAATTACCCCCCCCCAAAAGCTAATCTCCTTACAGTAAATTATCAGACAGCAGCAATTTCAGTATGCTCCTGAGTAGGTGAAAGTCAGTGTCATTTTTCTGCAATAGAACAAGAGGCCATGAGACGTTGCTTCTTTTCTTGCTTTCAATAGGAAATTCTGCCCTTTGATTCTCAGATACACTTGATGTTCTTAGGTGATATGCATTCATCTGAGGACATAGTGGGTGCGATTTGGGGCATCCAAAGTTGTAAGAACATGGGTGTGAAAAATTGTGCATTAAAAACATGGGCATGCAAACTTGTATTTGCAATTTGAAGCCAATTTAAAAAAAAAAAAAATAGATAAGGCTATAAAGGCCAGTTTTCTTTTTAAGGTGTGTTGATGCCTAAAAATGAAGTAAGAGTGTAGTGGGATTTTCAATGGGACTCAGACTGTTATGCACTTTTGAAAATTCCACTAGGTGTCTATCTACATTTAAAAGTCTGGACCTAAGAGTACAGTACAAAATGATTTGTTAGGAAAGGTTTTGCACTAACAGAACGTGATTCTATTAAAAGACACTGCGCATCTTAAGATGAAAAGCAGAGCTCAGAAGACAAGGGTATCTGGTATTTTGTATTATTCATTTCCAGCCCATATTTATTTCAACCCCTTGTGTATAAATAAGCATTTTTTACTAAGTAAATGCATATTTTAAAAAATGAGAAAGATATTTTAAATATGGGAGGCCATTCATACTTGATAAAATAATATTTGTTGCTTTAACAGCAAGGACTGATACATGGAGGAGAATAATGCTGATAAAACAACATCAGTTGTTTAAGATCCCCTTCCTAGAGGATTGAACATCATAACTGCTCATTAAATTATCAGAGAAATAGAGTGAAAATCCCATGTTGAATGACAAATGTGCCAATTCAAAGCCCTGTATGGATCGTGATTACACCAACGTAAATCCCAAGTATAACTCCAGCAACTGAGATCAGACTCTGGCCCACTTGTCATATTTTATGGGTGAGGTGGAGCAAAGTTGGGAATTCAGCCTATAATGAAGAAAAGGTGGATTTCTTATTTGTAATATTTGAAGAAGAGGAAGCTTGTTATTTTGTAAAGCCACACTGATAAATGCTGAGACTTTTGAGATCCTAATTGTGCTCAGTGCTTTTTCCCTCTTTTGTAATAGTGCCTCACTTGATGGCTGATGGTTAGAAAATCCAGTAGCCCAGGGATCCACAGCATTCAAGAGAGTCTGGCTTACACATTTGGTTGGGGGCAAAAAGCTCTAATTCATATTGAATTCACTCACTGCATTCCAAAATTACTGAAAGGTTTGGAGAACTCCAGTGTTACAAAGTAGTCTTCATTTATTACGACAGATCGCTTGCTAATTGTCCATGGTTCCATGAAGAGATGCAAGCCTCACATTTCGATCACTGGTATCCATTTTGCATTTAAACTTTCTTATGATATTGACCGGATTGTTTGGAATGTGGAGACAAGGGAGCAAGCTTGCATACGATAGTGATTTTTAATATTTTACATTCATCTATTTATGAATTTATAATAAAAATAAGTTTATTTTTAAAAATATGAAACCTGCTTTTTTTGGTAAATTCCTATGGTGGATACATGGCACTGTGTATTGTTAAACAAATTTCATTAAAATATGCATTTGGGAATTAGTATTTTTGTTGTCATTTAATACACACCCCACCACGAATTTAACAATTGTTGGAAGCTTAAATCCAGTAATTTAAGAAAATATGTACACTATCCTTCACTTGTTTGCTGACGCTGTGTATGGTCTTCCATTTGTGCAGGAATGGAATTTGCATACACTTCACATGAAAGTATTAACTGCATCCCTACACTCTTTTGTGCTTCTGTCTGAATTCAAGTGAAGATGGAGGGTTCCTACTGATCATCATTATCCCTGGAGGCTCAAGATGAGAAACTTAGGTGGACACTTACATACTGGAAGTTTGTACTTTGTAGAGTGCCTCTCTGAGGTTTACAGTTAATGCACTGATACTCTTAGCTAGCTGGAACTTTGAAGTTCATAGTTGGGAGTTTACTTTCTCCACAAGGGGACTTTCGGGAGGGGGAGGGGGCAGACACCACACAGAATCTGATCTCAGCTCAGTCCGCTAATTAAATTAATTGAAGCAAGTCCCTTCCCCCACTCTGACTCAGATGCACATTTTAGCACAACTGGCACTAGGAGAAAGCTAAAGCAGTTTTAACAACTGATACCACCTTTTCAAACTAGGAGGCTAATATTGGGAGGTACCTAGCACAATCACTTCACTATCACTTCAGTGGGAGTAGCACATGCCCTTTTAAGAGAGCACGGCAATTATCCGACAGTAAAATGTCTCTGCTCTAGTGCTACTGCTGCAGGATTGGAGACTATTGTAAAATACACTCATAATTTTCTTTTTTCAGCATGGTGATGAGCATCTCTCAGGATCAAGACCACAGTTACGATGTCAACACTCCCCTTCTGGGCACTATAAGGAGACCATCGGAACTTCCCCTAGGGATAGGAAACCAAGTCTGAACACATTCTAGTTTTCCACCCTTAATATGGATGCCAAACTCCCACTTTCAAATGCTTCTTTAACAGACTTCCTTCCTTATAATTGACATCTTGACTTAGCAACCATACCCTTTTTTTTAAACATAGTGTTTTGGATGCAATTATTTATACTTTGCCATTAGTGTGCATGATGCCCTGGAGAATTCTTTAGTACCACACACAACTGTAACATAACCATGGCACACAGCAGTGAAGTGTTTCAAACCTTCGAGAGATTTGATCAAGTTTTAAGATATTGTGATTACAAGCCTACAAGATAGTATCTGCAAATGTCTAAGAGAATCAAAATAAATATCAGAGAGTATATATATGATCAACAACAACTTGTGAAGTCCACAGCTGTAATATGAGGCCATAAAGGGTAAAACACCGGGGTTCGGCAGCGGGCTGAGCGGGACCCTGGCAGGCAGCAGCGTGCCATTAAAAATTGGCTCGCGTGCAGTCTTTGGCACATGTGCCATAGGTTGCCAACCCCTGCTCTATATATACACACACACACACACACACATACACACACACAGAGACACATACAGTGTTTATCCATTGCGTCCACATTGCATGAGACTAACTTGAATAAGGCGACCTATTGAAATTGTACAAGTGTAATTTAGGATTAAAAAGAAAGAACTCTTCAAATGCATGTTGTTTATAACAACATTGCAAGCAATAAAAGACTTACACCTCTCCTGCAGCAACCACATGGCATGTAGGTTTTCCCAAGACACTAACAAGTTTAGAATTTCCAAAACTGCTTACAGAAGAAGATGATGGTGCAAAGGCAAAAGATCAGGCACTGGGGGTGGGGGGTGCAGTACCATACCATTCATGAGAAATGTGCACAGATCTGACCTCCCCCTCAGGTACATTGATAGGCTGGAGTCTAAACTGATACAGTATCTCAATTATATCCCTCAATAGTTTGCCTAACCATACCACCAACAGTCAACAGTAGAGTCTTGCCACATCGCCTTCACTGTAAAAGTATTTCATCTGTAGTGCCTATCAGTAAAGCATCTAAAAACATTAGTGAAACATGCCATTTATTACATATTTTAATTAAGTTATCCACACCAACACTGCCTACATAAGTAGTTCTGGCACAGACATCCTGGCTCCTAAATCCCTCCTTTTTGTTATTCATGTTAGAGACCGGCTCTTGATCAGTTCTCTCTTCTCAAAGCTCCAAATCACTGTTCATCCATCTCAGCCTTCCTGGAAAGTCTCAATGGTGGCAGACCCCTTGTTTTATGGGTAAGGGTGGCGCCAGGGAACACAACTGCACTAAACAGCTTTTGTGGTTGGTAAGTGCCAGAGCTGAAACCTCTAAAGCTGTCTCAGTGTTTCATTTTCTTTAGCTCTGACCGTAATGTTGTCTTGGATCATTTATTTAGCAAGCAAAATATCAGATTTCACATGTCCTGTGCTCTATCAACCAGCAGCCCCAGAGCAGAACCTAACTATGAAAGTTTGTGTTCTTGTAACTTTGGGGAATTCAGCCACCCTGAGCTTTGTCCCCCAATCAGTCCTCTCTCTGACGATGAGCAATGGTAGCTGTTTCCACAGGAGGCTTTCATGAACATGAGCCAAAAAGCTCCTTTTATAGATGAATCATTGGCTTTAGAGAACTTTATGGCCTTCCTTTGCTTCCCCCCACATAGAAATGAGAGAGTCTGGCAGATTTTCTTGCCCATTCTCACTCCACTCCCCCCACCATACTCCAGATACTGTCTAGATTTCACCTAAAGTTCAAAATTCCTCAAGCACTTAGGCTTCCCCTACTTCCCTGGGGAGATCACTTTTCCAGTTTCCTAGTGTTTCCTGTAATTCAGCCAGCCTAGTTTTTCTTCTGCCCTCTCTTTTGAGCTCTACATTGAGGAACATGAAATGGAAAGTGTAACCCTCTATTGTAAGCCTCAGCCATTTCACTAAACAATCAGGTAAAGACCAATAACACTAGGAGGCTATATTCATGCTGTTCATTGTACAGTAGAACCCAGTTTTTCCAACCCTCACTTAATCAGTTCTCCACATTTACCGAACAATCAGGACTCCAGAGCCTGAAGTGGGTGATCCCTCTTGTGGTCACTAGATAGTGCTGCAGCATCTCATTTCCCCATTCTCCGGTTTATCCAGATAATCAAAACTCCGATCTGGCCCTGGTCCCAATTAGACAGGATAAATGGGGTTCTATTGTATTTTTAATTAAATACTGCAGGTACAAGACATTGGTACATGGGGTAACTAAGGCCCCATTTCCCACTGTCACAGGGTTCACTCACCACGGGCGCCTCCTTGTGGCCATGTCTGGGGATTAGCTCCACTCAAGTCTGATGCCTGCCTTCTACCCATTGCTCACATCACGCCCCCTCTCACTCTCCAGGACTTACAGTTCTCCCTCTTCGTGACTCAGCCCTCCATCCAGGTCACTATGTAATCCTCCTCCTTGAGGACATCAAAGTCCCACTGGATCAGTTGTCCTCATACTGCTCCAGACAAGTCTTCCAATCCAAGGCCAGGTCCTATGCCACTTTCCCAATGGATGGTAGGGGAACCCAGGCCTACTCACTACTCTGGGTTCCAGTCCAGGCGCCCTATGTCTAGCAACTATGGTCTGCATGCGTCCAGACCCTGTTGTTATTTCTCTGGACTCCTTCCTACCTCTCTGTTCTATCTTCTGCTCTGCCCCGGGTTTATCAGCCCAAAGGCCTTTCTCATAGGGGGAAACTGCAGACTACTTCCCCTGTGGCCCTCTCCTGTTCTCAGCTTGCTGGCTTTATACAAGCTCAACCTGCTCCTACCCAGCTGGGTTTCATCATCCACTAGCCTTTCAGTCCTTGGCTGTCCCCCAGATGCAGCCTATCAGGTTAATTGGCCTGATTTAATCTGCTCTGCCTGTGTGGGGTGGACACCCCATCATATACCCACTCACTCCAAGCCCACCTTCAGGTTCTTCATGTCTTAACCAAAGTCACTCCGGCTGGTGTCTGTTTATTCACACAAAATACCAGAGTCTCAAACACAGCCAACCCCTCCCTACACCAGTTCTGATCTGATCACCAAGTGACTTCCCACAAACAAAGTCACACCCCCTCAGGGTGCTTCGCTACTCTCAGCACACATCTCCACAGGAAACACTTCAGACAGGCCTCCCCCAGGCTAGTCCTGCTCTGGGGCCCTCCAGACCAAACAGTTCTATATTAACCCCAGCTCTGACTCCTCACATAGTCCAGCTCCGTCTGCCCAAAGCCTTCCACTTCCTTTAAACCAGGTGGGTTAAGGAGCCAGCCACAGCAGAGAGTCAACACTAACTTAATTAACCCTTTCCAGTAACAGGGTGAATGGAGGGTCAAGCTTACACAGGAGCCAAAACTCTGTCCACAAGTGTGTGCCTTATTTGCTGTCTAATTACTATAATTTAAACATCATTTGCACATGCAACAGAAATAAAAACTCATGCACTTTTGCATGCACAAGAGAGAAGCTAGCTACTACAAGTTTGGTCTGTGAAGTCATTGTATATAAACATACTACTACTGGAGTTGGTACACTACAGTCCTTGGTTCCTTTTTTTAAATAACTCATCTGTACAGCTAGTCTTTGTGGAACAAGATTTGGATTTATATTATGAGACTAAAGTCTCATTTAAATAGAGCACCTTTATGAATGATTGTTTTTCATTTTCCAGAGACCGTGTGTCACTTTGAAACACGAGTTTTCAGAAGCAAAACAGCATCACTTATAATACATCCAAAAATCCATTATGGAAGACATAATTGTATAGCTCACTTTTAGGCTCTTTGCAGATCATTTGACTGGTGAAAAAAAGGCATAAGGGTTTTTCAAGAGCATGTCCCTTCCACGCTGCACAGCAGCAGCATTCCTAGTATTATTTCCATTCCCTAGCTGCTCATTTTTCAGGACACATCAAGCCTGAACAACTCTCGGCCTTTTTTTATTTTAAATAGCTATCACGCACTAAGCGGACATCATCTAGATGTATCTATCCCAAACTACAGCAAACCAGTTCAAAAGTGGGAAGTAAACACATCTAAACGTCTGTGTATTTACTTAACATTCTGCAATGGCTTCAAACAGCCATTAACATTTTGGCTCAGCTCTCATGTACTTGAATGCAAGTTTTCTCATTCCTTAAAAAACAAAAGTCTATCAGAGAGAATACAAAGAAATTCAAACCACAAACTCCCAGGTGCTACCAGGTACTTAACATTATTTGGATTCCAACCAAGAAAAGATGGGACATTTACAGAGGAGACTAAAAATAGTATCTGAAGCCCCATTACCCTTTTTAAACAATATTTTGATTTTTCTGGGTTTTTTTAATCCTTAACATTATTTACCAGGGTTGGAACTTTAACCCATTGAGGCAGAGAAGTGTGAAGTGCTGTCTACCACAAACTGCATGGAGTATAAATTTTGCATATTAATACTTGTGCCATCCAATCAGAGAGTGAGCAAACATGTGCCTTCTGTATCACAGCATTTTCACTTCTTTTTCCCTGTTCACTCTCTCATTTTGTTTAACATCTACCTCCTACCAGCCATTCTCTCTCTCAAGCACTAACTATGCGAATAGCATAGCTGAAGTCGAAGTATCTTGGATCGAATTACCTGGGGTCCACATGGCGCGGGATCGATGGCCGCGGCTCCCCCATCGACTGCGCTACCGCCGCTCGCTCTGGTGGAGTTCTGGAGTCGACGGTGAGCGCGTTCGGGGATCAATGTATCACGTCTTAACAAAACGTGATATATCGATCCTGGATAAATTGATTGCTGCCCGCCGATACGGCGGGTAGTGAAGACGTACCCTAAGTTTGTCTGAAGCAAATACAAAATGGAGGACAGACCTTTTCTAAAAATGGTCCTTCCCATGAGTGGGATTATGTTAATTAGGGGGAAGATCGTCAAATTTAAGATTGCATCAGAAGCGGGTCTAGCTCTGAGTGCAGTCATTCTGGGTTAGTTCTGGAGAAGGTAAAAAAAAACAGGTTGCTTTTCTTAAAGGGCTTATGAATTTCACAGAGATTAAACCAAAAGGGTACTATAGAAATTATTCTAAAAAGCTGCAGAATTTAATAGCGAATGATCTTTCATCTATCCACACAAAAAAGTTTGTTACCTTTAGAAATAAGGTTGCTCAAGCGCATTTCCTATTAACGAAATGCTATAAATTCAAGAAAATTACCAGTTAAAGCAAAATTAACATCCACATCAATCCCACATGCCTTGCACCTGCCTACGCTAATACCCAGCTACGGCCAGAAGCTCCTCACCCTTTCATATTGAAATAGTCAGTGTTTGACAATGATGGGGCATTTTCATGTTTAATTAAGAGGACCCTATTTTAAATGAAAAATGCAATCTTCACTACAAAGCTTCTAGAGTGACTCCATAATGAATTAAAGTCCAGAGGCTTGTTCAAATAAAACCCCAATCATTTTCTAAGGATAAGCAAGACCATTTTCTTTTCTGTATGTAGCTCCTTTACCTTTAAGTCTGTCTTATTTCCCTTTTTCCTACTTTTATTCACTCTCCCTTGTCCGCTGCCCTTTTTTTAATTACAAAAACAAATTCTCACTATCTGTTGCACTCAAAATCTGGCTCTCTATTCACTATCCCACAAGCCAGCATGATGCTCATATTCTCCTTCTATATTCTACTACTGGAACAAAAAAAAGACAACAAATCCACTACTGCATATTATCCTACTGTAAAAGCCAAACCAACCATGCCTCTGCAAGTCAAGGCAGCCAGAAAAAGCACTAGAATAGCACACTGGACGGCTTGATAATAGCTTTCCTCTATTGCCCCCAGTGGATAGTGAATCTGGCGCCATACAAAACAGACACTAAATAAACCATCTGGCCCAGTGAGAGGTAGCTTGCCTAGGCAACAATATGTGATGTACTCAGCTTTAGCGACACTTGTCATATGTTTCTAAACTCATCAAGTTATTGACAAAGGTTAGCTTAATCTCTGCAATTCTGACTATCAGTATTGTGCTTTAAAAAAGAAAGGTAACTCCCCAGTAATCTATGTCACGCTCATGGAGGCCAGTGTTGCTAAGTTTATGGAATATTCTAGAAAGGAGTGCCCTTTGCAGCCACACAAGGATCTTCTCACGGTATTAAACGGTCAGAGCTGAGGTCACAAAAAAGTCAGACCATTTGTTCCAGCCATTTCACTTCCTTCTGCTAGATCTCTGGGAAAGAAGGCAACTGGTGTGAACACAGAAGTAATCATCTAGGTTCCCAAACTTTTCATATTGCATATCCACTTCCAGATCTACCAGCTGCCCGCATACCCCTAGCAGAATACAGGTTTCATATTTTAACCCTTTTAATGCCCAAGCATTGTACAAAACATACAAATTATAATACACATAAACACAATATATATAGGACTATAATAATAATACATATGGTTTTAGTTTTAATGTACGCTTACTTTTGACCAATTTAAAAATGGCTTACTAGTACTACTCACCATTAATGTGATGGCTGAACTGGTTTGTTCAAGCACAGACATATAATGTTTGGAGTGACAGGTGATAGTTTGAGACATAAATTGTTTTCTACACAAAGGTGATGACGATACTTTGATTTCATTCCAGTGAGTGATGAAAAACCACTTTCACACAGGTAAGTTGTAATAAACGGCATCAAAACCTGGAGAGCCCTGTCTGATAATTCGGGGAACTCTGCTTGCATTTGGATCCAAAACTCAGCCAACTGCTTTTGTTCAAACTCACTTTTAAGTCCAGCATTAGTTGAGATGTCCAGAAGATTCTCTTGTTCTTTTACTGACAATTCTTGTGGCATGGGCGCTACAGAAAAAATTGTGAAAGGGTAGCGGACCCATCTGTTTGTATTTCCCATTGAGGGAAAGTACTCACGTAATTGTCTCACCAGTTCAGTAACGCTATCCTGCAACTGTAGTTCATTCGTTGTCAGGAATTCATGCATGTTTGGGAAAATTTCAGTGTTATTTTCTTCCATGCAGCGAGCCCAGAATTCCAGCTCTTTTGTCACTGACTCAGTTTTGTCCTGGACATTGACGATGGTTGCATTCAGCCCTTGAAATCCTAGATTTAGCTCATTCGGGCAAGAGAATGTATCTGACAAGTAGCCCAGTCATGAGAGCCAGGCCATGTCATGCAGACAGCGAAAGAGTGGGAATGGGTGGTCTGTAAAGAATACCTTGATCGCAGAGGTGAAGTTCAAATAAATGTGCCAAGACTTTTTGCCCTGGGACAGCCATCAAACCTTGGTGTGGAGCAATAGATTGATGTGATCACTTCCCATCTCATTACATAGAGCAGAAAAGATTCTGGAATTTAAGGGTCGAGCTTTTATAAAAGTTTACCATCTTCACAGATGGTTGGCATGCTATTAGCAGCTAGTGCTTCCCTATGTATGCTGCAATGCACCACATCACATTGGGAGCGACTGCTCTGATACGTGTCACTATCCCACTGTGCCTACCAGTCATTGGCTTTGCTCTGTCGGTGCAGATGCCAATACCTCATGACCAGATGATATGTTGATTTATGAAGCTGTCAAGCAACCACAAAATCTCCTCAGCTATTGTTCTGGTAGGCAGCAACTGGCAAAACAAAATGTCCTCCTGTAGTGCACCTTCAAAAATATACTGCACATATACCAGAAGGTGAGCTAAGCCTGCCATGTCTGTGGATTTGTCCAGCTACAGAGCAAAGTACTGGCGGCTACTGACGGTTAACTAATTGAGTTAGGACATCATTGGCCATGTCATCAATTCAATGTGACACCGTGTTGTTTGATAATGGCACTAACTGCATTAATTTTTGCACCTTCTTTCCAAGCATGGTGCTTACCAGGTCTGCAGCCACAGGTAGTATTAGTTCCTCTGCTATGGTGTGAGGTTTCCCTGACTTTGCAACTCTGTAATTCACTAAGTAGGATACTTCAAGGGCCTTAATATTGTTGTCAGCAGCAGAGGGCAAAACTTTTGTGCTCACCATTAGCTGTGCCAACATCCGCTTTAAAAATTCTGGTGGTTTGTCCTTGTGTTGTTTGTGTTTTGTTTCCAAGTGTCTGTGTAGAAGAGATAGGGTGGCCACCTGACCCAAAATGAGGGAGAAAGTCCCAAAATGCAGAGTTCAAATCCCGGTCTCAAGCTAAATGACTCTGGGAAGCATTTGTCACGGATTTCCTGTGGCGCCGCTTCACACCTGCCCGAGACCCAAAGGCAGCGCCAGCCTCTTCCCAGTGGGGGGAGGAGGGGCTCAGGTGGGCCTTAGTCCCCCCCTCACCACAAGGCCCCACCCTCCCTTCCTCTCCCCACCAAGACCCAGCTTCTCACCAGGCCAGAGGGCGGGGGCTGGGCAGTACTAAGAGCTGCCCAGGAAGCCTGGGCCACTATTGGGAGCAGGGCCGGCTCCAGACACCAGGCACCCAAGCACATGCTTGGGGCGGTACCTGGTAAGGGGCGGCGGGGGGAGCGCCGCGCGGC